CTCGGCGTGTGGAGCTCTCGCGAGACGGCCCGCCGTCGAGACCGGGGCGCGGGGCTGGGGGAAGGGCCGGTCGCCCGGAGCTTTTCCGGCCGTTCCCGCTCTCGGCCTTGCCGGCAGGCGCTCGGGGGATAAATGGTTTGTCCTTCCCCGCCAGCTTCCTTTGCGCTCTCAGTAGGAAGTGACCACGCGGAGGGGAGGGGAGGGTAACCGGACGGGAGAGGGGCTGAAGGGCTGCCCCCCTCCCTGAGGTGCGGATGGGGGCCTTGGAAAGGTGTTCTCTAACTGCGGTCTTTTTGTCCGCAGAGAACATGGCGGCCCAGAGGGAATGGAACCCGATGGTGTCATCGAGGTAAGAAATGGGTGTGGATTTTGAAGCTGTGCACAGGTGATGTTGGTCATCCTATTTATTCCGGCTTAAATGTTTGTTTTTTATAGAGCAACTGGAATGAGATTGTTGATAACTTTGACGATATGAATTTAAAGGAGTCTCTTCTCCGGGGCATCTATGCTTATGGTTTTGAGAAGCCTTCAGCTATTCAGCAGAGAGCTATTATTCCTTGTATTAAAGGTAAAAGAATTCGTTGGCACTTGATCACAGCGAAGCATTGTTTTACATAGACCTGCATTATAAAAGGGCAAATAGTCTGGGGGACTAGTACCTACCTACTTGTATTCCTTAAAGTGAAATGATGGCAATCATCTTTCGGGACTGACCTGAAATGAAGAGAATACTCATTGCTGATCACTTGATTATTTGGGCATATTTCATGTTCCAAATGGAATACATAGTGTAAACTAGAAGTGACGGTTTGATGTGGGATCGGTAAATATGTATCCTACTTTTTTTAGGATATGATGTGATTGCTCAAGCTCAGTCAGGTACTGGCAAGACAGCCACATTTGCTATTTCCATCCTGCAACAGTTGGAGATTGAGTTCAAGGAGACCCAAGCACTAGTATTGGCCCCCACCAGAGAACTGGCACAACAGGTATTGATAGTGTAGTTAAAAAAAAAACTGCTTGCGTGTTGCATAGGTTTCAGGTTTCACAACTGAAGAATTCAAGAGTATAAATTGGTCTTATCAGAAACCTCCTTTTAACTGTCCATGCATGCAGGGAGTTTGTTAAAAGTTAAATAGGAACTGGGTGTGCAAGTATGGTTTGCAGGGTTATATAACAGATGGAGAAACTAAAGTTTTCTGGTCAGGGTGGACTAGATCTGGTCTCAATTTTAAGTTTGAATGCAGTTGTGCAACATGAAAACTGCAGTGACATGTTACTAGTTTGTGATGCATCTTTTTGCATGATATGTTTTCAAGACTCACTGCTAATACAGGCTTTGAAGTACACATTGCTAATAAAACTGTAGGCTTTATTGAGGTCAATGTCACTGCCCTTTGGGGAAAATTAATGTAGCAATGATTTGTTGTAGCTGTAATTGCAGAGCGTGGCCCACTATTTATGGCTCCCTACACAATGAAGAATAAAGGACATGTTTTTAGTTCTTCATCTAGCAGGCACCTGGGACAATAGGATCCCAAATTTGACAAGGCACAAGACATTGCAAGGGAATTATACCTCCAAGCAGTTAGATCAGTCTTCATTTTGAGCTTGGAAGTATAGTTAAGTGCTATGCATGCATAAAAGTTGTGTGTAGAATACATATTTGCCATTATGCTTTGGAAGTTTAGTCACAATCTGTAATTCTGTTGGATAATTAAGGCTTTTGCCTTTTAGATCCAAAAGGTCATTCTGGCACTTGGAGACTATATGGGAGCAACTTGTCATGCCTGCATTGGTGGAACCAATGTTCGCAATGAAATGCAAAAACTGCAGGCCGAAGCACCACATATTGTTGTTGGTACACCAGGGAGAGTGTTTGATATGCTAAACAGAAGATATCTTTGTAAGTGTTGCTGTCAATTGAGCATAAATGTTTTTACTATAATAATTTTAAAATTTAGGGATGATAGTATGATTTTCTTTTTTTAACAGCTCCAAAATGGATCAAAATGTTTGTTTTGGATGAAGCAGATGAAATGTTGAGCCGGGGATTTAAGGATCAAATCTATGAGATTTTCCAAAAATTAAATACAAGTATTCAGGTGAGCTTTATTTCACCCCCTCCAATAGCTGGAGGTCAGGTTTTTAATGCAGGAACTGTTACAATACAACTGAAGTGTTTTATTGTCGTTCCCCCTGCTTAAAGCAATTGATGCATAACTATCTCTGTCTAGCACAATTCCATAGCTAGGCAGAGACGCTTGGCCTCAAACATGGTTTTTTGAGTATTGTAAAAGTTCAGCTAACTACTTGTGTGATAACATCGGGTTTTTTTGTTTTTCTTAAGGTTGTGTTGCTTTCTGCCACCATGCCAACTGATGTGTTGGAGGTGACCAAAAAATTTATGAGAGATCCAATTCGAATTCTGGTGAAAAAGGAAGAATTGACCCTTGAAGGAATCAAACAGTTTTATATTAATGTTGAAAGAGAGGTAACTTGTCTAATTACTAAACATAAAAAATGTAGCCAGATTTTTTACCTTCTTGTATAAGCACTGTGCTAAAATTGCAGAAACTAGGATCACATCTTGGTTTTTGTAATAATGCTAGCAGAGTACACACAAGAAGAAAAGTAACTGCACTAGATGATAAAGACTGGGGTGGACCTCTTTCTTAATGTCCAGTGTCCTTTGTCTTAAAATTTGGTGCAACATGTCTTCTGATCAGCCTAACAGCGAATTTTTATTTATTGTAAGTTGGAAACAAAATTTTAATGACTTAACTTTTTCTTGGAAATATTGTAGGAATGGAAGTTGGACACACTTTGTGACTTATATGAGACACTGACAATTACACAGGCCGTTATTTTTCTCAATACAAGGCGCAAAGTGGACTGGCTCACTGAGAAAATGCATGCCAGGGACTTCACAGTTTCTGCTCTGGTAAGAGGTGTTCTACTCTAGTAGTGGTAATTACAATGTCTTCTCTTATTAAAGCAGGATTCAGACTACAATATAGCTGTTAAGTGCTGTGTTGTCGTTCCCCCTGCTCAAAATAAAGTTGTTTCTTAACTATACCTGTCTGCTAGACTCCTGTAGCAGCCAGGGACGCTTGGTCTCATACATAATTGTTAAAATAAATATTGACAGACTGGTGATTCTTGAATGAAGGTTTGTTAATTTGCAGCATGGTGACATGGACCAGAAGGAAAGAGATGTTATCATGAGGGAATTCCGATCAGGGTCAAGCCGTGTTCTGATCACTACTGACTTGTTGGTAAGTAAATCTTAACTGCTCACTTTGATTTACCAAAAGTTTTATTTTGGGTGAAGGTTTTTTAATAACCTTTACCAACTTAGGCTCTTTGGGAGAATAAAGACCACACTCCACAGTGGACTATATCATTAAACATATAGCCCATTACTATTTTGTGGCCTACATTACGTCTCTAGTTTTAATCAATTAGAATTTTAATACCATACCATTGTATTTCAGGCTCGTGGGATTGATGTGCAACAAGTGTCATTGGTTATAAACTATGATCTACCTACCAATCGTGAAAACTATATTCACAGGTGAGTAGATGGGACCTTGATTGTTACTGTATTGGTAAAATGAGCTCATGTATTTTCTACTGATTAATTTATCTGGAAGGTAACTTCAAGTCAGGGAATTGATTCAGTAGACAGTGTCAAATTGGTAAGATGAAATTAAAAATTGTACTTGGGAACATTGGTCATGCCGTGGGAAAACAATTGCAAACATTGCCAAAATTGTGGCCTTTCATACCTATGGATTAGATTGTTTTAGTTTAGATCTGTTGGTCTTAGATTATTTTTGAGCTTTATTTTTTGTGATGCTCTTGTGTGTTCATGTGCTTTCTTGGTGATGATAGTTGGGATTTTCTTGGTGTTGTCTGGTAGCAATTTGAGCGGTCCCTGGCTTAGTTATAGTGGCTTTATCCCTAAATAAATTGAATTGTACTTTGTTATATGATGTAAAAAAAGACTTTTTAAAAAATACAGGAGTCGATAGCAGCAGTTGATGACGAGATGGCACTCAGAAACGGCGTTGACGTAATTTAGGACGTGGAATCATAAGCGAAACAGCACACTGTTTGAATAAAGAGCGAGTCGGTATTTATATTTGTTTTTCTTTTGTCAATGATTATTTTATATTTTAAGTTGCTCCAGCCAAGGCATTTTGGTATATTAGCCTATTAGGTGGTTTTATATTGTCTGGTTTCTATCAGGAAGGTAGAAAGTTGCTTTGGAGTTAAAACACGTTTGAGTAATTTGAGTTACAACGTGTGAAACTGAGCAAAAAGCAGTGATGAGTTTGGGTTACCATACCAAATACTTGTTTTCCCACTGGAAAAAGTTGTAAGTTTAGACAATAGTTAACCGTGCAGCATTTGTATTTACAGTTTACAGTTCCAGAAGTGCGCCGATATGGATTATATAACTGTTCTTTTTTGCTTCATCCCGGTGTGTTTATATCTGTCCCAGGCTGACTTCTGCTCTTGGCTGGCCCACTTTGGTATGGGCTTTTTTTTTTAAATTTCACTATCCCAAACACAATACTGTCATCTGCTTTAAAAATAACAATGCTCAAGGCATCTGATAAAATCTCATTTTGCAGCCAGACAAGCTTTGAATCCTTTTGGCACTAACTGCAAAGGAAGATTTTTTTCCCTCTAGATATTGATTAGCAGATAGTGCTCCAATTAGAAGCACGAACTATAACCTTGATAAGTAAACAGCAGCTGATGGTTAACAAGTGGATCATCATGTTCAGTAACTCATGCATTGTTAGAAGTAACATTCTAATTGCTGTTTTCTTTTCTTACACAGAATTGGCAGAGGGGGTCGATTTGGGAGGAAAGGTGTGGCTATAAACTTTGTTACTGAAGAAGACAAGAGGATTCTTCGTGACATTGAGACTTTCTACAATACTACAGTGGAGGAAATGCCAATGAATGTGGCTGACCTTATTTAATTCCCGGGATGAGATAGTTTTGAATGCAGTGCTCGCTGTTGCTGACTAGGCGATCACAACGTGCATTGTGCTTCTTTCTTTGGGAATATTTGAATCTTGTCTCAATGCTCATAACGGATCAGAAATACAGATTTTGATAGCAAAGCGACTTTAGTCGTGAGCTCTTGTGAGGAGAGTCATTGGCTTTATCCTCTAGAGTTAGACTGTTGGGGTTGGGTACAAAAGATGGGGTCTGTAAAATCTTTTTTTCTTAGAAATTTATTTCCTAGTTATGTAGAAATGGTTGTATTAGATGTTCTCTATCATTTAATAATGTACTTGTGGACTTTTTTTTTTTTTAGGAAGCATTTGAATGCATTTTGTTTGGTATTGTATTTATTCAATAAAGTATTTAATTAGTGCTAAGTGTGAACTGGACCCTGTTGCTACGCCCCAGCAAGCAATCATATCCTAGGTAGGGTTAAACCCCCAGTAAAATTGCCATATTGCACATGTCTTAATGAAGTTTGAATGTTAAATAAATTGTATATTCACTTTAAAGGTGCTTTCATTATTTTATTGTAAAACAGTATGAATTGAATATGGTTTTAACAATTCTGGGTTAACTGTTGCATCACAGTGGCACAGAGGCTAATCAATTGCAGATGTTCATCAGCACCATCTGCTAAACACTTGTCAACATCCTACAAGAAAAAGGAAAGGTTAGATAATTGTCCCTTTTAGGTAGAAGTATTTTGCTGAAATGTGCAAAGGTGCCTACTTACAGCAAGTTTTTCTGTAATAATGGACTTTTGTTTATCAGAAAGAGCATCATTTTCTACAACTACATCATGAAGTTGATTTACAAGCTGAGTTGCTGCATGACCTTCATCTATTAAGTCCTGTTAACAAAATTACATGGTGTCAACATTTTTCTCTTCCCCAAAGTTAGTAAAGTAACTTAAACTTTTACCTTTACCACAGCTTCTAGCTTGTCAAAAGAGCCACTCTGACATGCAGCAAATACTCCATCAACTGTCTCAACTGGTATTACCTAAAAAGATAATTTGGGGGGGAAGGGAGTTTGGACATAACTGCCAAGCCTGTGCCCACTCCCTTCTGTTTCATGTTTGGTTGCTTCACTGTGTAAAAGGACATTTCCTAACAAATGACATAAAGCTGACTAGATAAGTCAATCTAGAGTTGAAAAGGCAAGGAACTGGAAAAGGGTCTTCTCTCAATTCTGAGCTGACAGGTGATCCAGAAAAGTACTGGACCTGAAATTTAAATATGCTCTCCAGGTGGCTATGCCAATACATTAGTCCAGTCACTACAGTGCAATAAGGGTGATACATTAAGTTTGGACTTAGTGGCTTCAACAGTGGCCAATATCCTAGTGGTTGTCATTCCTCAAAGCAGTGGTTAAAGTAATTTTAAGTACCCAGAAAAAAGGGACTAATGCTGTTTAATTATGGTATGAAAATGCAATAAAGCCTGAAAGGAGTATTCAAAGACCAGTGTGGCCCTCTATTTCCTTTAACAAAAGATTTAAAGTTGAAAATGCATGTGCCTTTATTATATGACCCTTTGTCAGAATAGACTACATTTATAAGGAAAGACATCAGGGGGATGGATATTGGAGGTATGCGATATCTGTACTAGTTTCAACAATAAAGATCCCTGCAGCATTCTGATACTCCCAGGTTATTCACTTAGTACTGTTCGCAGTACTTGGCACATGCTATAGACTAAATGTAACCCCCTCCCCAATTTATGTTGAAAAAAAAAATCCCTAAAATATTTGGAGGTAGGCCTTTGGGAGGTGATGGGGTGATGAGGGTGAAGCCCTCATGAATGGGATTAGTGTCATAAAAGGGCCCGGGGAGCTCCCTTCTGCCATAGGAAGATGCAGGCCATCTATGAATTAGGAGTCCAAGAACTAGAAAGTGGGTCCTTACCACATGGAATCTGGGCACCTTGACCTTGGACTTCCCAGACTCCAAAGTTATTAAATGAATTTCTGGAGTTTGGAAGCCACTCAGTCTGGTATTTTGTTAAAGCACCCTGAGTGGACTAAGCACATAACAAAGCATTCTATACATACTTGTTAGGTGAAAATTCTCTAAAAGCTGCCTAAAAGAATTTCAGAATAACTAATGCTCTTACCCCAGCAATGTCTGTGATCACTTTATCTGTGACCTCCTTCCCACCTGTTAATCTAGTAGCACTTTGAAGAAATGTAATGGCTTTTCTTAAATCTCCTTCTGATACTTGAACAAGACAAGACAGTCCCTGAAAAGAAAAAAAAGTTTTTGTGTGTTTTTTTTTACCTATAATGACCAGTTAGTTTTTTGATCTTAAAGTGAAAAGCACTATATTTTAGCCAAGAGTTACTGGGAAGAAATGAAATTTATTTCTATTTTTGAGGGAATATTATTAGTCCTATAGTTGCAGAATTCATGGAGACCGCCTCAGTCCAATGGAAGGATAGAGATCTCTTGCCTTTGAAAGTTGCAGACAGATGTTTGATACTTTTTTGATTACATAAAGAAAATTCAAGCCAAGACCGGTTTGGCTCAGTGGATAGAGCGTCGGCCTGCGGACTGAGGGGTCCCAGGTTCGATTCCGGTCTAGGGCATGTGCTTGGGCTGCGGGCACATCGCCGGTGGGAGATGTGCAGGAGGCAGCTGATCGATGTTTCTCTCTCATCGAAGTTTCTGGCTCTCTATCTCCCTTCCTCTCTGTGGAAAAATCAATAAAATATATTTAAAAAAAAAATTCAAATTATGGTTAAATTCTGTTATAATGAATAACAGGCCTATATATTCTATCACTGTACCAGAATTTCATACCGAATAAGTTTTTGAAGTGGAGTTATTAGCTAGGAGACTAAAATCTTGTCATTATAGAGAGTTGTTGCTGCAGAATTTGCATTATATGTATGAAATCTGCCCCAGTTTTGGGTCTCTCAAATACTAATAGATAATAAATTACTAATAGTAACCGAAAGACTAAATCTGTAATTCCTAGACATTACAATTGTTCATTTAGCTTAATTTTGCCTGAAGAATTGGCATCAGAAATTGAAGCAACACACATGACTCCTTTCAGGGCCTCTTCATATGCATTCATCAACGTAACTAGTACAAGAACTAATAATTAATACTTACCTCATTGCTTATTTTGACATGTTCTTTATCAGCAATGTCTAGTAATCGTTGCTGTTGAATTTTATCTGACAGAGGTTTGAAGCGGAATTTAGAACATCTGGAGGTCAGAGGTTCAATTATTCTGTAAAATATAGGAAAAAAACAAGTCAGTGTCTAAAAAGGATTTCCTCCAAAGAACTCATTTTTATCAAGATTTGATGAAGGAGATATTAATGTAGCCTTGAAACATTTTTTTTTCTCCTTAACTGAGGGTTAGTAAAATAAGGCTGCCTAGCATCTATCTTTAAGGCAATATACATACCGACTGACATAGTTACAGATGAGACAGAATCGGGTGGTTTTAGATTCTTTCTCCATGGTACGTCTTAACGCTGCCTGAGCAGCTGAGGTCATAGAATCTGCTTCATCCAGAATCACAATCTTAAAAGGAGGACATGGCTTCCCACTGATTCAGAGAAATACATAGGAGTAATAATTCACCTATCATCGTTACAATCTAATTTATAACATACTCATCCTCCCAAAGAAAAGTCTCATGCCCAAGAGGAGTTACTCCTCTTCTCTCCCAACTCTCTCGGCCACAGGCAACCATGATCTCTACTTTCTATCTCCAAAACTGCCTATTCTGGACACCTCTCTATATAAAAGCCTAAGTGACTGTCTGACCCGTAGCTCTGACGCACAATGATCACCAGGGGGCAGAAGCTCAACGTAGGAGCTGCCAAGTTGCAGTGACTTGGCAGCTGTGGCTCTTGGATGATGCACCTGGAAATAGAGAGGAGGAAGACCAATTCCCCAGATGCCTCAGGAGCCCTCAGGGGATGTCAGAAAGCCGGTTTCAGCCTGATCCCCACAGGCCAGGCCAAGGGACCCCACCAGTGCTCGAATCCGTGCACTGGGCCTCTAGTTTCATATAAATGGAATCATAGGATGTCAATCTAACATGTTGTCTTTTATGATTGACTTCTTTCACTTAACATAATATTTTCAAGGTTCATCCCTATTGCAGTGCTATTCATTCCTTTTAAATAATACGGCAAATGGATATACTGCATTTTATTTTGTCCATTCATTTGTTGATGGGTATTTGGGTCGTTTCCATGTTTTGACCATTATGAGTAATCCTGTTATGAACATTTGTGTACATGTTTTGAATAGACATGTTTTCATTTCTTGTGGATATATACCTAGGAGTAGAATTATGGGTCATGTGGTAAATCTATGTTTAACTTTTAGCCAAACTTTTCAAAGTGGCTGAATCTTTTTACTTTACAACCAGCAATGTATAAGGGTTCCAATTTCTCCACATCCTTGCCAATACTTACTATGTTCTGTATTTTTAATTATAGCCATCTTAGTGATTGGAAAGTGGCATCTCATCATGGTTTTGAATGGCATTTCTCTAATGGATAATGATGTGGATGATGTTTTCATGTGTTTATTAGCCATTTGTGTATCTTCTTTGAAGTAATGTTGATTCATATACCTTGCCCATTTTAAAATTAGGTTGTCTTTTTATTATTGAGTTGTAAGAGTTCTTCATATATTCTTGATATAAGTGCCTTATCAGATACGATTTATATGCATTGTCAATTCAAGGTGGATATCAAAAATTAGTCATTCATTTCCTATAAATTCTTAATGTGTGCTCTGATATAAATTTAAATATATGCCAGGGACCAAAAATTTAATCTTGAAACTTTGCCACCTGAGGAGTATAAGTAGTTGGCTAAACATCCCTGTTTAATTTAGGGCAGTCCTATTTAATTATTAATAACTGGAGGCCCGACGCACGAAATTCGTGCAAGATTAGGCCTTCCTTCTCCCAACTGCTAGCCCTGGCTTCCCTCTGGCACCCGGGACCCAGGCTTCCCTCTGGCTGCCAGCAGGCACCCGGGATCTGGGCTTCCCTCAAGCTACTGGCAGGTACCCAGGACCCAGGCTTCCCTCGCAGCCCCGGCTTCATCCAGAAGGACTGAAGGATGTCTGGAAGGACCTCTGGTCTAATTAGCATATTATGCTTTTATTATTATAGATACCTCCTTTTTCATTTTAAAGGAATCCCAGTTTAGACAAGAACTTATATGGTCACCCTACTATGAAATATACACTGAAGCTTAAGATAGTTGACTTTTTAAAAATAACACAATAGCAGAAGTCAGGATTTTTGTTATGCAT